TTCTTGTTTTTTGTTGTTGTTGCTGCTGTCTCTTGTAATTACTGTAGCTGCTGGAAGCCTAAAATAAAACTTCCAAGTCTTAGCTATTATATAAAGAAAGAGTGGTGCAACTATTCCTGGCATCGGGGACTATTGATTTACTGCAGTCTGTCAATGTTAGATGGGCATGCTGCTACGTCAGTGGTGCACTGTATTGTTTCAACTGCTGTGGCCTTTGTATTTGATCCTGGCAGTGCTTGCGTCAGTGATGCATATCATTGCCTGTGTGATGTCAAAGTGTGGGTGTTCAGTTACAGAGACATAGTTAAACTAATGTGCTGCAGTAAATCCTGAACACTATTTCCTCCTGGGAATAACAAAGAGAGAGTGAATCATCCTTGTTCACATTAGACTAATGCTAAGTATAGCAGTGTTCATGACCTGCAGCATCCACACAGATTAGTATCAGAACTACTGCAGCTTGCTAAACATGGTGTCAAAATAGTGTTTGTTTAAAAAGAGGTATTTATATGTACCTACTTCCCCAAGGGTTCACTGATTATCAGCTAAAGGTAAACCCTCCTAATCAGAAAATATGTGGTTAAAGTAATTCTTTAAAACTTAATTCTGTTAATTAAAATGTAAAAATCTTTCAATTATAAGAACTTCTGTAAATAATCACATCAGATTATGTAGTACTTAATAGATTGCAAAAAAAAATCAGAGTATACATAATGTAAAACAGTAAATGAAGTGTTTCGCTGAGGGGTATTCCACTGAGAACAGTTGTCATCTTCTTTAAAATGAGCTACTTTTATCACTTGTTTTGACAGGCTTTTGAATCCACTTTTAGTACATACTTTCAACTGCTATGCAGAAAAAGAAGTGCAGTGTTTACAAAGAACAAATCACTCTGCTGCATACCTGAAGCTTCCCTTTTTCCCTTTCTCAGTAAGTCATGTGATGATGATCATGTGACTCGGTCAAAGGAGCTTTTCCTCAACCATCACAAAAACGAAAGCATTCTCCCAATTAAAGCTGCTAACGTGTCCAACCTTGGATCACTGGATCTTGTTTACACTTCTGCTATTACAGTAAAAACAAAATGAGTGGTAAGATTTGCTGACTGTATTTTGAAAGAGAGTTCTGCTTTTGTGTTAAAACATGAAAAGCATTACATAAATCTAAACCCAGTCTGTGTTTTCAGCAGATGCCAGATATATAATGTCTATAAAAGGTAGAAAAGGGTTGGTACATTTAAACATAGATCTGGTGATATGTAAAATTATGAATTGTCTTTATTATTATGTGGGTTCAGTAGATTAATGTGTACCACTGTGTATCCTGTTTTAAGGACCTCCCTGTCTGTCAGAACATAAAATTAGAAGCAAGTATTGCATTTGGAGGACTTTATGAATACTAGTTTTATAAGAGCACTATTATATACAGTTACTGTCCAGAAAGAATCTTTGTTTATAGACTGATAAAACATTTGGTTTTTATGTTGAAAATTCAGTCCATTTAAGTTTACAATCTCTTTACTGAATTCAAAATTGAATGAGAAAGTGAGATTTGAAAACTAATTGCATATCTGATTAAATAAGTTTTTTTCAATATTTTGAAGTTTACAGGTTTGAAATGTATTTTCATAAGATTAAATTATGTCTGGGACAGTAGGAAGCATACATCATATTAATTTTGTTTCCCTCTTTATACTGTTTATAAGAGGCATGATACATTTTCTTTTACATTCTGTTCAAATAGGCATGCTCAAGATTTTAAGCAACCTGCTACAGTTAATATGACCTAAGCTGTTGTGTTTAGGTTTCACTGCTTCTTGCAAATGTTCTTAATTTTCATGAACTCTGTAATAAATGTCTCAGGAGACTTGTTCCCTACCACGGTCTCTTTATTTCCCCTTGGGATAAAATGCTTATCACTGCAAAAAAAAAAATTACAAGCTAGGTCTGCCGTAATAATTTAAGGGAAATGTGGACATTCTGATACAATGGCACTATTGAAAGTATGGGAAAACATGTGTCTTCTGTTTTAATATGATATTTTTAGTGTGTGGTAAGGCATTTTTCAGGCAATTATATTTTAAACCAGGGTATCCAACCTACAGCCTGCAGCTGTACACAGTCCACCAAAGCATTTCATAAGGCCTGCAGCCTGCTTCAACGCAATATACTAACGTGCAATTTATTAGCACTGTGTCGTCATGTTTACATAATTTTAGTTTACACAAGTGTGTAAATAGACAATACTGTACATGGGTTGTTTCTCTCTAAAATCATACAAAACAAGCTGAACTTAAAATATAAATCAATACAGGTGACTTTAAATCATATTAAAATATGTAGAATCTGTTTGGGCCACACAAGGTTGTGCGTAGGTTTCTGTGGCCCTCCTATGTGATAAGGTTGGGCACCACTGTTTTAAACTATAAAATATTTCTATCAGATTTTTTTCTCTGAGTCCTTCAATTTTACTTTCATAATGAGATTCAGCATGGCGCAATATATAGAAAATTCCAGACTAGCAATTTAGATAATAGAAACCTTTGACATTAATAATAAAATCATCATATTAAGGAAACACTTTCTAAAGCAGAATGTCATTTGTATACACTATAAAAAATTAAAGTGTTAACACGTCCTAATAATGTCATTATTGGCTGATAATGTGACACCATTACTGTTTTTCATGGCTAGGAACAGTAAATTTGTCATGTATACTTATCAACAGTATAACAAGTAACTTGAAGCAATAGCAAATAGAAACACAAGAGTTTCTTTTACAATGTAGTATGCCTAAATAAAACCAAGATCTTCACGTTAGTAGTAAAAACAAAAAAATAAACTCAATTTTATATTTTTAAAAATCTGGCATTGGCATTTTATCCTAAGCTCTCACAAAAAAAAACTTTTTTTCCCCAAGTCATGCTAGCAGTACCATATTTCTGGCAAAAACATCACAGCAAGGAATGCTGCCAAGTCTTTTTTTTTTTTTTTTTTTTTTTGTAAGTTTATCTACCATTTATTACATTTTACAATGATTTAAAAACCTAATCAGAAGTATAATGGAGTTTACTGTTACAGCCTGAGTGAGAAGAAACCATCTTTTCTCTATTTTTAAAACTTCCGAATTTTAAAGTCAGGATATAAATATTTCAAAGTTAGCACCTTGTCTTAATGCTAACACCACAAGTGGGACTCATTCAAGTTAATAAATTGCCTTGAGTCTCTTATTTTCTGGCTGCTGGGGGAATAGGTGGTTTGTGAACGTGGCTGTATTGGGAGCAATGTGTTAATGCCACCATATGGCAACTTTTGTATTGGCTTTGGAGAAAACTGCTGCTTATATCAGTCAAGACACAAAGGCATTAAATACACGAAATTGGTGGTCTTCAGAATGAAGTATAGTTTGCTGTTCAGAACACTCTACTTAATTTGGCCAGATGCAGCAAAAGTAAACATCCATTGATGTGCTTATCATCTATATGCATACTATATATATATCTTTCTTCACAGATGTGCATCACCAGAGTTTCTGGAGCAACTAGGATGAAGGGTTTTAATTAGACGTGAGCAGGTGGGCATGATTCTCAACTGACTTATAACTTGTGTAGTCATTTATATTTGTTTAAAGTGAGTGGTTTAAAGCAGAGTGGTATCATTTTGTATCCACTTTGAAAACATTTTTCTTGGGTATAAATGGCTACAAGATACAAGCAGCAGAGAACAGACCCCTTGTTTTTATTTAAAAATGTAAAGTATTTTCTGTTTTAGGCTGATGATACATTTAATATGCCTGCAGCTATTGCTATTGACTTTATTTTTTTAAGTAGTTCCATCTTTGTTTTTCTTCTTAACTATTCTGTTTAAGAGAGACTGTTTTAGGATTAGGGACAGTAGCAACCCATTGTAGGCTTATATATTTGTTATATTATTTATGGTCCTCTTCAACACTCCTTACTCCAGCAGAACTCCCACTGCTTCAGTTGCTGAAGAAAATTTGTAATTCCAAGTTAAACAAAATATGGAAAAGGCTACATTAAAGTTTGCTTTTAACCCATCTTTTCCCATCTGCAACTAAAGACCTTGCTCTTAAAATTAGAGAATTTTTCTTTGCTGTCAAAGTCATGGACTACCAATTGCACAGAAAATAAAACTGAGCTTCTTTGCAGATTAAAACATTTATAGAATTGTATGTTTTCTGTTGAGGATCTTGTATAAAGTTTTCAAATTTGATCAGACACTAAGTTCAGAAATATTTTTGTTGCTCTAGCCCAGTTTTTCACATTCAGGCAGAATTACTTTTATTTTTCTTCAAGCATCTTTGCTTACCAACCATAGGATGGATTAATCTGCTTATACAGATAGTACTTGGCGTTTACTTAGCACCTTGCATTTGCTGATCTGATCACAGTTTACAAGCATTAATGTCCTAAGTCTAAGCATAAGAACACACTCTTTTGGGGCGGAAAAGTATTATCCTGGTTTTACAGATAAAGAATCAAATGCATCCCTTTTGTAACTGCTTTGAAATAGTTGGGAGTTCTGGGTACTCAGCACCTCTGAAAATCAGCCTATGCATTTTACTTTCCCTAAGATTACCCAGGAAGTCTGTTGAGAATAGAACACAGACCTCCACACTCCCAATCCTGTGCTTTTGCCACAAAACCTTCCTCAAATATTTTCCTAGGAAGAATACACATGGATTTCTGTTCCTTTTAATTATTACCTTTGGTGATTATAGCTTTGTGTGTTTAAAAAAAGAAGCTTTATTTCCAGAAAGAGGGAAATATTTGCAAGGAAATAATTTTTCTATGTGCCATATCTGTTGTTCACATGAATTGAGTACCCTTCACTATAATTTTATCTTTACAGCCCATGTGCTCTGCTTATCCATGTTATCTTGTATATTTCTTTGCAGAGATATTGCAATTCAGAATGGACTTAGAACTTTTAAAGCTTGTTAAACCATGCTATACTGAAATACTTCTGTAACCCATTTAGGTCCTGCTCAGGTTCCAATGATGTCCCCAAATGGTTCAGTGCCTCCTATTTATGTGCCTCCTGGATATGCCCCACAGGTATGTCCAAACATCTGATTCATATGGCTTCATATATTCACATTACATTTGCAGTTAAATAAAACATACATAAAATCCTGGGACTAACATAACAATAAGCTGACATGGCTAACCTGGTAACATGACATGGTAAGTTTCAGAATTACAGTGATTTGTACAAGTAAATATGGTGGTGTCCCATAAAGTCTCTTCAGTAGGAGTCGTCTTGTATGCTTTTATGAGCCTCCTTTTTGATGTATGTGTATAATATTTATTTTACTCCCAGTTATTTATATTGTAATAGCATGCGAAGTTCCCAAGCGGGATCAAGGAACCCTTTTGCTAGGCATTGTACAAACATATAGGAAGACATGGTTCCCTATTCTATTCTACCTTCCAAGACTCCAGTCCTGTACTGAGCTTCATGTTGGTAGATCCCCTTCATCTGTGCAAAGCCCCACACACTTCAGGTGGGCACCATCTGGTTAAGTGTTCTGCCACCAAGGAGCTCCCTGCAGAACTGGAACTTAAATGGACAAGACAGACGAACAATAATGGACAGAGAACATGTAAGACCAAGTGCCAAGTAGCTTTTGGGGATATATTGTCATTTATTATTTGTTTCTACAATGCCTAGCCGAATGGAGAACCAGCCTGGTTGTGGTCTTTAGGCACTACTGCAATACAAATCTTTGATAATTGTCAGTGTATTGTCTTAATTAAAATTTCCCACAAACCATACAATTTTTTCTCTTGCCTCTGTACTGAATCTGCAGCCAACCTTCTCTACCTTTGCTGATCCAATGTGCACAGCCTGTGTTATAGAATAAGGAACGAACAAACAACACAAAATTCAACCCAAAAAACCAAAGCCAGTCAGATGGTGCATACATTAATGAAAGAGTATAAAATTCTGTCCGCCAGCAGAGTGCTTGCATACAGGGCAGAGGCCCACCTACTTTCACTTACTCTCTGCTGGGGAAAGTTTGTGTATAAAGGCTCGTCTACATGGTCATTTAATGTGCAGCAAGTCGGGTGAATGTACAGTGCTCTAACTTGCTGCACCCTAACCTAATTAGCTGTGTGGACTCTGCTACTGCGCACTAAATATACCATAGTCAGAATTGTTAGTGTGCAGTAGCATGATCCGCATGGCAGGCTCACATGCTGTATATTCATACCCTGTCTTGCCACACGCTAACTGACAAGCCCTTGGTTGGTTCTTAAATCTTTAATATTAGAATATCGAATCTGGCAGCAAAATGGATTTTGTGGTTTTTAATTGTTTCATTTTGTTTTAGATCATTACAGAAAAGCATGTTTCCTGTTAAAATTCATGTTTTATCATTAGGAAAAATAAAAATCCTGACATCTTTGCTGTGAGCTAGTTTCTTCTGTATTTTTTTTTATTTCAAGTGGGTTACTTAATGCTAAAATGTTATAGAATACATGAAAGGCTAAATAATTTTAGTGAAATTAATATATACTGTTTGCTTCCATTGAGGGCACAGAGCCTCCCAGAACCCAGAGTTATCAAATCCTGGTAAAACATTTATGTTGTAAGAATTCTGAAATGCTTATTGCTAACAGAACATACCATTGTGTAGTGATTTATACGAAAAGATTCTGTAGCAAATAAAAAAAATTGACAACAAATAGATAACTTGCTGCCAGTGGAAGCAACCAGTACCAAGCTCATAGTTATCCCAAAACAAATAAAGAGATTTTAATTTAGAATTATAGAACTGTAGGACTGGAAGGGACCTCAGTGGGTAATCTAATCCAGTCCCCAGCACTCAAGGCAGGACTACGGAATAACTAGACCATCCCTGACAGGTATTTGTCTAACCTGTTCTTAAAAACCTCCAGTGACACAGATTCCACACCCTCCCTAGGCAGTTGGTTCCAGTGCTTAACCACCTTGACAAAAAGTGTTTTCCAGTGTCCAATCTAAACCGCCCTTGCTGCGATTTAAGCCCATTGCTTCTTGTCCTATCCTCAGAGGTTAAAGAGAACAATTTTTCACCCTCCTCCTTGTAATAATCTTTTATGTACTTGAAAATTATCATGTTCCCCCTCAGTCTTCTCTTCTCCAGACATAAAAAAAAAACCCCAATTTTTTCAATCTTTCCTCATAGGCCATGTTTTCTAGACCTTTAATCATTTTTCTTGCTCTCCTCTGGACTTTCTCCAATTTGTCCACATCTTTCCTGAAATGTGGCACCCAGAACTGGACACAATACTCCAGTTGAGGCCTAATCAGCATGGAGTAGAGCAGAAGAATTCCTTCTCTTGTCTTGCTTACAACAGTCCTGCTAATACATCCCGAGATGATGTTTTCTTTTTGTGCAACAGTGTTACACTGTTAACTCATATGTAGCTTGTGATCCACTATGACCCCCAGATCCCCTTCTGCAGTACTCCTTCCTAGGCAGTCATTTCCCATTTTGTATTTGTCTCCTTATACTTAACATTAAAAAGAAAAGAAAAAAACCCTGAAGGTGCCCTGCAAATGTGTATATATTAAGAAAAGTTGAACACCTGCAGAAATATGTGCTGAATGACCAAAACCACCAGGCTAGGAAGGCTATTCAACATATCTATCATTTATGTATCATTTTAGTTTAGGTCTCTTTATGCCTGGATTTGCCCCAGCTACTGAATTTGGTGATTTCACACCATACTTTTTGCTGCTGGTGATTAGAGCCAACATATCGGATAAGACATGTCTTGGTTTTCACACATTGTATACAACTAATAAGTGTTTCAGAAAACGTGATATACTGTTTAAAAAAAACAGGGCTTGCTTTACCCCCAATATCGTGGGAGTGAAATTCATTCTGTGAAGAGAGTGAAATTACACTTTTAGTTACTGTGTGTGGGCCTGCCTGCTCTATAGAGGTAAGTCTGTCTACATTCATTGATCTGTAGTGGATCTCCCAATGATGATGATAACTTTGCACAAAGATAGAGAGTATGGGCCTTATGCCAGAATTAAATGTTTAGCTTGTAAGGTTATTGTTGCATTCAGCATCCCTCAGTGCTGGGGGTGGAAAAATCATACTTGGCCACTTTTTTTTGTTTGGTTTTTTTTGTACATGTGCAGTTATCTGATTTGCACACACAATTGCAGGTAATGTTTAAGTGAGACACACAATTGTGCATGTAAATTATTTGAAACTCTAACCTTTAATTATTGGACTTTCAGAACCTAATGTCATGAATGGGGCAGTTACCCAGGAGGACAGCATTATATTGGTTTGCGCTTTGTTTACTGTCAGATCATATTTGGCATTTTTTTAAAGCCCTAAGGGCAAGAAACATTATTTTAATGAAATTTTGCTTTCTACAGAATTTGAAGCTGTTATTGGGCTGGATAAATACCTTAAACAGGCTAGATCCAACCTCCAGGCTGGGTGTTTGACAACACTGCCATCTAGGTTGTCTCCATTTTCCAGCAGATTATATGTTAAGTAATATTTGCTGTAGAAACTGTGCTGGGGCATCATGGAGAATAGGAGCTGGCACAGGTCCAGGTGTGGCAGAACCTGAAAAGTGAGATTTTAATAAATTATGCTGTGCTGAATACCTTCCGTAGCCTTATGATTTGCTGCATTTTGCAGTTTAACTTTTAAATATATATGTGTATACACACTTGAAGTTCACCTTTAATTTAAAGGTCTTCATTTAAATCCATTGCCTTATCCTTCACTTACTCAGACATGCTGAGATACCACAGGAGTCTGTGAACTAGGCATAATCGTACACACCGTGTGTGCCTCAATAACTAAGCGCAGCAGGGAAGAGTAAGGACGAAGTGATATCTTTAATTCTTTTTTTTCAGTTTGTCAGACTCCAAATGTTGCTGTAATATGTAGTATAATTTTTATATGTAAGGCCTGGTCTACACTGGGAGGGGGCGGGGGATCAATCTAAGTTAATCAACTTCAGCTATGTGAATAACGTAGCTAAAGTCGACGTACTTAGATCTACTCAACGCGGTGTCTTCACTGCGGTGAGTCAGCAGCTGACAGTTCCCCGCTGACTCCGCCTGCACCTCTCGTTCCGGTGGAGTACCGGAGTCGACGGGAGAGCGCTCGGTGGTCAATTTATCACGTCTAGACTAGACACGATAAATCAACCCCTGCTGGATCGATCACTGCCCGTTGATCCTGCGGGTAATGTAGACAAGCCTTAGAAAGCATAACCCGTATGACTATCCTTGCTACAAACATGAGGGACTTAAAAAAATAATTAAAATTACATCTTTATGTTTGGGGAATTAAACTGGCCAACTCTAATTATAGTTGCCTATACTGTTGTTGTTATATTCGAATTGCAAGGATAGGACTTCTTCAGTTTTGGTAGCTTTGAGGAATGTTGTTTTCTTTTACAGCAAGGGACAGTTTCAAAGTACCAAATCCTTTGGAAAGTCACATGGTATTTATTTTAAAGCTAAGTTATGGCTAAAAAATTAATCTTAAATTCAAGATAAGTATTTCTGTAATTGATCAATCCAACCTTAAATAGATTTTAACAACTTCTTTATCTTAATTGTTGTGTATTCCTGTTCCCACACCTACATCGCAGTAGGTGGTCCTCTCACCAAACATCATTGCAACTAACAATATATTCCAAGTGGTCTGTCCCCTATTTTAGGAAGCTATTTAGGATATTACAGTGGGCACATAGGTTTTCCTTTTTTTCTGAATGGCTATTTCCTCCCCCCTCACCCCATTTTACATCTATCGCACCCTGTTACATATCTACTACAAATTCATCAGCATGCAAACCTGCCAGGTGAGAGGCTTGGCAACTTCCTCTGAGGTATTCTATAACACTTGTTATTGGGCTCTTGAAGTCAGTGTAATTTTTTTTTCTTTTTGGCACTCCGGAGGCTGAGGTTACTGCCCCCACAATACTTCCAGCTATGGTTACTCCAAGCCAGATCCCCTTTTAGGTAGTAGGTTGTACTACCAACTGAATCATATTTAGTTTTCCACTTTTTTTTTAAATGGATTAACTACAGTGGTGAACCTCAAAATGGCCTGTATAAGAACTGTTTATAAAATTTTGTTGCGCACAGCTTTCATTTTAAGGGGGGTGGGGAGTATTTTCTCCCCATTATTTTCCCATCCAGAAATCAGTTGCAGTTTTACACTTTCCTACAAGAAACCCTCTGAAACATACTACTAAGTATCCCTCATTTTCCTCTCCCATGTTCTTTTTTTTGGTCTTATCATCTCCATTTTGTTCTACTTATACCATTGAAGATTCTTTTGCTCTTATATTCAAAACGAAACATTCTCTTTTAAAAAGATTTATTGATTTGTTATCTTTCAGACTGCATAGTTCCAGACTCCATTTCCTCTTTGTGGCATATATTTGTAATAGCTGTTTGCTATCTAAGAAGCAGTCCTTTACCTGATCAATGTTTTGTTCTCTTGGCTTACAGGTTATTGAAGACAATGGTGTTCGAAGGGTTGTGGTGGTTCCCCAGGCTCCAGAATTTCACCCTGGCAGTCATGCAGTAATACATCGGCCTCCGCATCATCCGTTGCCTGGTTTCATTCCTCTTCAAGCCATGATGCCCCCTCCACCACGACATATATACTCAACAGTGACTGGAGCAGGTGATATGGCTTCGCAGTATATACCACAGTATCACACTTCACAGGTATATGGAGATCTGGGTAAGTAAATTATCGAAGAGTTACATATCCTATCAAAGCAATGTGTTCGTGTTCTTCTGGCGTCTCCAGTCCGTTCAGTATTCTTCTATTGTGTAACTGTTAGCTTTAAAGCAGTACTATAGCCTAAAGTAGAGCTATTAGCTAGAATCCTGCAGTACAAATAAAGACAGTATCAGGGAACCATATAAGTTTTTATTAAAGTACATTAAGTATTTCAGAAAATTGTCTGATATCCCAATCTAAGCAGAATTAGGCCTGGTGAGTTATAGAAGGGAGCCTCATACACTGGAAAAGGCAAGGCGCTGTATGATGTAATTTTAGTGATTCAGTGAGTGTCACTCTTTCCTCTGACTCAGTATTTAAATCCATTGCCTCAGCATTATAGGTAGGCCCTTTGTTCTCTATGGGACACTGGATCCAAATTCTGTGAATTTCTACCACATAAGCAGTGTCGAAATCTGTGACGTTGAAATTTCCATGGTTACTTCAAGTAAATTCAAAACTAGAGCATCTGTATTAAATTAAATATGTGAAAAATAAAACAGTACATTATTCCTTGTTTATTTTTATACTAAATTCAATATATACCTGAGTTTTTGAATGTTTTTAAATTTTGCACTGTTCCAATATTTATGGTTCTTAGCAAAGTTGCACATTTTTGTATTAACAGCAGCAAACTGCATTCCAGAAGATGTCAGGAGTGGTATCTGCAGGTTTTGACTGCTGGGTGTGGGGTTGTTGGAGTTTTGCTTCCTGGGATCCAGTGTGGAATGTGGCTTGGGTTTTTGGCAGCCAGGAGCTAGCAGAGGCTTAGGCACTAAGAAGATGGGGGTCAGAAATAGGAAAGGAAGAGTTTTCATCTTCTCTTTCCTTCCCCTTCTGTGCAGAAGCAAAAGTGACTTGGAATTTGGGGGAGAGCTTGAACTCCTAGGTTACCACCCCAGTAATCTGATCACCCAATTGGCCGCTTCTCAAATATCCACCAATGCATCAACAACCATAAATAAGCACATTAGCAGGATTTTTCTACTAAAATGATTGGTAATAAACTGGTTAATAAAGTTGAGATTCAAAATGTAATCAGTACACTTCAAAGCCAACTCTCAGTTGCAATTAATGAGTTTGCACTCTTCGGGTCTGCTCTTTCGGGCTGTTTTCAGGCTCTGGAGGATAGTATTTCATTGCCCAATAATGGCTCAAAATTTATTTTTGTAAATAAAATTGACTACACTAAAAACTTATACTGATTAAACTAAATCGGTTTCTAAAGCATTTTAGTTAAATTAGTACAACTCTCCCTCCCATCCCCACCCCTCGTGGACACAATCTTATTTTGGTTTAAAAGTGTCTTATGTTGGATTTAGCTTCAGTTGATTCCCTACCAGCTTATACTAAATCCAATATAAGACTCTTTTTAAAATAAAACAAGAGTGTCTACACAAGTGGTTTGTACCTAAGTCTATTTAGAAACTAATTTAAACAACTAAAACTTTCTCATATATTTAAGGCCTTTAATTCTGCTGCACAGTTCTATGGTAAGGAATTGATTCTGCAGCCAATTCCATGACCGCAGAATTGTAGAACATATGTAGCTCTGATCATAATTGGTTTACTTATTATATGTAGATTATTTCACACAGTAGAAAGATATAGTTCATGGCAGTCATTTATATATTTTTAACTAAGCTAGCATTCCACCCACAGATTGTTCTGAATAAAGTGGTAAATATTGAAAGAAAATATCTCTCAATTTTAAAATTTTCAGACTAGAACAGGCGCTAGCTCTTGTTTTTTCTTCATATTTGAGAATTGAATTAATATTTATATTTGTAAGTGCACTTCACAGTTATTTTTTCAGATTATGTGCAACGATATGGTACATCTACACAAGCTAAGATGCTGGTGTGTTACTTCTGCCCATTTAAAACGTTAGTGATAAATCAAAATATCCAGAAGGTTTATTCCCTCATAGTTAGATTGTTTATGTATATTGTAATGAGCATTATTATAAGTATTGTGTGTATACATATATATGTCATGTATATCATGCAAAGAATACATTTTAAAAAGCTTTTTCATTTTAAGTAATCTGTCTTAATAAAATGTCTTTGCTACCAAAAGTTGATAAGTCAACCGTCTCGTCCATCTGATACCTGTCTTCCCATTTCTAAACTTTTCATCTAAATGCAACCAGTGCATAAATTGAGAAAGTAAAATGACAGATTGTTCACCCTGAGAGGAATCTCCTTTTCCCATAAGTATAACAAACACCAGCTGTTTCCTTTACTAATGACAGATAGGATTACACTGAGAAAACAGAGCTGGTGCTGTGGTGTGTACCTTTTAAAAGGCTGCACTGTGTAATTAAAGCACTTCTGTATGTGATGTTAAAAAAGAATGGAAACGTTAGCGCTGGGAAAGGAAGTGGAATCTTTAGTACAAAATTTGACAAGAATGAACAGTTCTTTCATGTTATTAGTCATTATTTGTCCAAAACCATGTTCTGTTTGGGTGGTTGGGCTTTTTTGGTGAAGTCACAGCTGTACACCAGTTCGCCGCTGTTCACTGTTTTGACCGCCTCATCAAACAGATTAGGAGAATAGCTTTGCCCATGATATTATAAATCTATAGAAATCTACTGTTAATTTTTAAACAGAGATTAATAGTGTGCTGAGCATGCCTGGCTAAACTAGCTTCATTCCATTAGTATCCTTCAGCTGCTGGGAGTTTTTTCTACTGGTCTCTGTTGGTTTCTGCTGAAAGACCATTAGAATAGTAATTCATTATTCTGTTCCAAAACTTAGTTGCCAGTTGCAGCCAGTAGGAGATAGATGAACATTTTTGACTGGAAACTCCATTAGGGTACAATGTCCCCTGCTGTGGCTTATTGCTATAGTAAAATGCTCTCTAGTCCCAATTCAACAAAGTCAATTCTTCAGTTTGCTTTGCTGAATGACTGTGGTCTGCTTAATCAGGGCTTAAGTGCTGATTCATTTTGTTTGCTCAATATGTGGTGTTTCAGCTGCCCTGAAATGAGATCTTCAAACACTGAGGTAAGTGAATTTATAAGAGTTGTATGGTTTCACTGTGGTTTCTCCATTTTCTGTTTTAATACTTCTTTACAGCACTCTATTAATAAATCAGAATAGGTATTACTATGTCTGTTGCACCAACAGGACCTTATTGAGACTACTTGGCCTCTAATTCATTGGTGGAGGGAGACAGATGTCATATTGGCAAGCACTAATTTTTCCACATAGGTGCAGGATTTAATAGTATCAAACAGGGCAAAGCAGAATTTGGAATATTTAAGATCTCTTGTATTAACTAAAACAGGAAGAAGAGTTACATTTTTATCCTTAAAAAAAAAATTATATGCAACAGTTAACATGTGATTGAAATGCTAAGTAGGTAAACTTTTGTGCTAATTAGGTTCACAATGTGAAAAGAGCAGATGTAATTTCAAGATATATACGGAGTCTCTTCAAATGAAACTGTAAATATATTTTATACGTTATGATATATTCTGAGCATTTTATGTTTTTGCTTTAATTTAGATGCTCTCTCTACCCATGGAAGGTCCAACTTTAGAGATGAAAGGTCTAGTAAAACATACGAACGTTTACAGAAAAAATTAAAAGATCGGCATGGAACACAGAAAGATAAATTGAACAGTCCGCCACCATCACCTCAGAAATGTCCTTCTCCCACAAATGAACATAATGGACTTGTGAAAGGACAGGACGCAAGTAGTGTCAGCACAGGATCTACAAAGAGCAAGTCTTCGGGGAAAGGAAAATGTAATTCTCAAGTGGATACAGAAGTAGAAGGTAAGTGTTAGCCTCCCGCCTCCAACCTCATCATCAGACGCAAGCTCCCCATAGACCAGGACACACCAGCTCAAGGCAGCACCATACCCTGCCCGAACAGATGCAAAACCTGCAGACATATCACCACTGCTACAATGATCAATACCAACACAGCACACCTTTCAAGATCCACGGGTTCTATTCACGCCTGTCACAACATGTTAGAGAGACAAGGTGGGTGAGGTAATATCTTTTATTAGACTAACTTTTGTGGGTGAGAGAGACAAGCTTTTCAGAAGTTGGTCCAATAAAACATATTACTTCACCCACCTTGTCTCTCTAATGTCCTGGGACTGACACAGCTACAACTACACTGCATTTCACAAAATGTGATATACCTCATCTAATGTATTGAATGCCTAACAACAACTATGTGGGTGAAACCAGACAATCACTGCTCTTTCAAATGAACTCACACAGAAAAATGATAAAAGGCAAAAACACCCTGTCACCTATAAGCAAACACTTTTGACAAAGTTTTCACTGCACATCTGATCACTCAGTCCTCTTCCTCAAAGAAAACTGGCACAACAACTTCAAAAGATAAGCCTGGGAACTTTAATTCATACCTCTGCTGGATGCTAAAAAACATGGATTTAACAGAGACGCTGGTTTTATAGCTCATTACAACGTTGCACCCATATCTAGTTAGGATGTCCTCAATATTTGCTAGTGCAGCACTGAGCCAGTGAAGAAAGAAAGCGGTCATGCTGCTGCACAGGAGAGGGCATCCCCTCATCATCACTTGTCAGGGGCCAGACCAGTTGCTAACCTGCTCCCTGACTGACTTTGCTGATAGGCAGCCAATTAGCCCAACTGCACTGCCTTGGAACTGACAGAGTAGCCACAGCACCTGATTGGCTGATGATTTAGCAGCCGTCTTTTAAGCTTAGCACCCACAGCAGATCAGCAGCTGTTCAACACACACCACGCTGACAGCTGCGCTTGCCCTGCTCGTTTCCAGTCCTTGCTCCAGCCATTCATTCCAGTCCCTGCTCCTGCCTGGTTCTCATCCTGCTCCAGCCTTGTTTTCAAACCTGCTCCTGATCTACCTATTGTCCGCTCTCAAGCCAGCCCTCGTTCTGCTCCAGCTTTGGGCTTCAATCCTCAGCTCAGCCTCTGGCTTATGATTCTGGTTTACCCTCTGGCTCTGGCATTCTGCTGCTCTCCCTCTAGTACTTACCCTGGGCTAGTTCCTGAACTCTGTCCCTGCCCCTAACCCAGCTCTAACCAGTATGCTGAACTGTTGTCTCAACGTCTAGGGCTGACCACCCACAGCTTGGCTGGCTACATCACTTCTGTGTTCTCCCTACTGGAAGGGGCAGGGTTGTTGCTGGGGCTGATCTGTTGCTATATGACTGTTGCTTGATTGCCTATTTTCACTGTGTGGGAATAGTATTGCCCTTTATGTACACTGTGTTGCAGCTTTTTAGTAAACTTAAAAACAAAATAGCATATTAGTAAGGATAGACTTCTTAGCTGTCAATAGTCTATGTGGAATACTAAGCAAAATGCAATTCTCACCCTTTTACTGAGAGATGTCGAGCAGTTTTATTTGGAAGGTTACAAAATAAATCAGTGAAGCATCTTACAGTGCAGTTATAAACCTTAAATATGTGCTGTGTATTTAAAGTAGCCAAGCTTTTTAGAGTAAGAAAACAGAGACTGTTCAAATTTTGGCTTGATTTTACCTTTGTTGTTTTAATTTGCACATCATCTCATTTCATCATACACACTTTTAATAGACGACATACCTCTGTTGTACATATATATATAATAGATATTTCTCTTTGAGGCAGCATCCAAAATTTTATTGTCTAACAATTGAGAATCTTAACAGTAAAGGTATTTCTGTGTAATCACTTATAAACTGTAATTGCTATTTTTCTCCTAACAGCATTGCACCTCTGTGTACCAAAAATTTTTCTTTCTACTTTCATCTTCGCTTCTTTCCTTCTCTTTTTGGTTTTAATGTTCACAGTTGCACTTGTTTATCATTGATTCAAATGCAATTATTATGAAGTTTGGTTTTACTCTGATATGACTAAAAATCATAAAAAAATACACATACACAGCAGGCCTTCTTTGCAAATCTACTTTATTTCAGTGGATTTTATGTCAAATTTAAAGTTGATTTAAAAAGATGAAACACTTTATAATGTCACCTAGAATTGCAGTAACAAGGGCATAACAGGTCACAGATATTTTTAATCAACTTTTTAACAAGAAAAATCTTATGAATATAAAATAGTGAATTGACTTGATCTCACTTTCTGGTGGGAGATTTAGCAAGTCGGGAGGGTTCACTTGAAATTTGCTCATTTTTAAAACAACAAATGAAGGAAAAATACCCTACAACTCCCATCTAACCTCTAATCTACCTAAGCAAGGTTAGATCAGTTCACTCAGTAGTACATGTGAGAAAACATATGAAGCATCTTAAATAAGTGTTTAGTTAGTGTAAACACTTTTTTAAATATATTACGAAAAAATAGGGTAGGTAACTGAGATATCTAAGATGTCTTCTAAGCCCTCCAAAGCAGTGGGTTATTTAAACTCAAATAAATATATTTTTAGGAGATGGTCATGCCTCTATAATCTATGAAATGTATACAGCCCCCTTGTTTAGGTACTCTTATTTCAGTTTTAGAGTGCCTTATATCAATGTAGCTTAAGTTGATAAGAAGTTCCACTTGCACACATCTAAATGTGTGTGTATTGTCTAGATTTAAAAAGATGCTTTATTGTAAAAATGTTAAACAATTATTCATGGACTTTTGTTTGTTTTGTTTTTTAAGAAAAGGATGAAGAAACAAAAGCACTCGAAGCACTTCTTTCGAATATTACCAAGCCAGTGGTAAGTAAATGCTACTTTCCACAAAATCAGAATTGAGCTATTCATGTTTTACCCTGTAGTGACACTTGGTTTTTTGTTGTCCAGGTCTGGACGACCTTTAGATAGCAACAATAATGAAAAATCACCAGACTGAGGGATCTTCAGTCACTGAAGTTCAAATTACTTAAAGTGGTCATTTCATAAATTTTAGAGAAACTGACTTTTTAAGACTTACTAAGCTGAATTCTTTTCTTGCTCACCCTGATACAGTCCCAGTGTAATTAAGAAGAGAATTTCGCCCACTGTAAACTTGTCAAGGTTAAAATCATTCAGACACACAGAGAATCCCGTTATTTTGTTGTTTCTGTTCTGTGTATGTAGCATTAATGCAGCTGGCACAATAACTATACAGGTAAAACTCTCTCTTATAATAGGCAGTTTATCATTAAAGGAAGCAGGGAAATGTTTGTTAACATTCAAAATCAGTTTCAGAAGTAAAAATGTTCAGTAAATTTTCAAATAATTATTCAGTATATTACAAGCAGAAATTTGCTAATTCAGTACTTCGGCAGGTGTATGTGGATCGCTGAGGGGAATAGTCTTTGTAGCTTGAAGTGCTATCAGTATGCTGGTTGAGCTGCAGCTTTACTACATCTTCTTTTAATTGAAGTTGAATGGCATGATGTCCATTTTCCCAATTCCTGGGTAAAAATAGGGCCTTGGACGTGGAAAATCGACTAATTTACTATGCAGTGAAAAAAGTGAGACTCACCCTGAATAAAGTACTGTCAAATGCACAAAGTAAACAAACGGGGAAAATATTTTTTTTAGTCTGTAACTGCATGTTCACCTCCAGACCTGTATTTGCTGAGTTCCATAAGGATCAGTTCTTTCTCAGTTCCTATTCAACATCAAAGTGAAGCCATTAGCAGAACTACTGAGACCTAATGAGCTCATATGCTAACACTATGCAGATGAGAGCTCTTTGTATCCTTCAAAACATATGGCAAAACCATTTCCATCATCCTAGCCCAATGCTTGACAAGGATCCGCTCATACATGAAGAAAAGCTGGGTTAAGTTAAACCTGTTCGACACAGAGATGCTTCTGGTTGATAGAGTGTAATGGTCCTCACTCAAGGATTGGTCATAAAGCATGGCCTAGTGGTCAGGGACACAACCCATGAACAGTAGGGGAGTTGTTGTTAGGGGAGCCAAGGCCCTTCCACTCCACCAGGCTCCGCCCTAGAGTCCTTTGGGGCTACCAGTGGTCTGGCAACTGAGGCTGCTTAAGGCTGCCTTCCCTGGGCCACTTCCTATCTCCCCCACCTGAGGCCAGCTCAGTCCAAGGCTTTCCCCTGCTGGGATAGTCCAAACTAGGGATGTAAATAATGTGTAAAAACAGTAATCGTGTAACCGATTAAAATTCTTTCGGTTACATGGTTAAACATTTACCCAGGGAACGAGGGTTGCGGGGGGTGATGCTTGACCCCCATGTTTTACGAGGAGCTCTGCTATTGTCCCGCGTCCGGGGATCCCCTCTGCTGCCCCCATGCCCGGGGCTCTGCTGCTGCCCATGCCCAGCATCCCGTGCGCCCAGCATCCAGAGTCCTGGCCCCACACCCGGGGTCCCAGCTGCTGGCCCCGCACCCGGGGGATCCGTGCTGCCGCTGCGTCCATGGCTCTGCTGCTGCCCATGCCTGGCATCCCAGCTGCTTCCCCATGCCTGGGATCCTGGCTGCTGCCGCCCAGTGCACCCAGGGTCCCGTCTGCCAGCGCTTTACCTAGGAGGTGGGGTCAGAGTTCATGGAATCGCAGACTGAAGCACTGCTCTGCCAAACGCTGGATCGTCCCTGGCGTGTTGGATGATAGAGTAATGGGAAGTGAAGGTGTGAACCAAGGACCACGTTGTTGCACTGCATATCTCCTGGATCAGGACCTGGGCCAGAAAGGTTGCGGAGGACGCCTGAGCTCTGGTAGAGTGCGCTGTCAGAGCGGGGGCAGGGACCTTTGCCAGGTCATAACATGCCCGGATACAGGATGTGATCCACGATGATATCCTTTGTGTGAACACCAGGAGGCCCTTCATCCTGTCCGCCACCACAACAAACAGCTGGTTCGATTTGCGGAACAACTTAGTTGGTTCAATATAAAAGGCCAGTGCACACCGCATGTCCAGGGAATGGAACCTCTGCTCCCAGGGATGACGGGTGACAGCAGAGCCTGAGGTGTGGGGCCAGCAGCCGGGACCCCAGGCACGGGGCACACATTCGATGGTGAGGCTACACCCAACCCTGACATAGCACAAAGGCTGGGCCTGCCCCAGAAACACCCCAGCACCCTGTTCCTCCGCATTGGGCACACCGTGAGAGGGATAGAGTCTCACACGCACGTACAGCCCTGTTTCCCCAAGCCAGTGATTTAAGTCTCTCCCAAACTGACTCACCCACTTGGGACTGCTGCCCGGGACAGCGAGCAAGGAGGGATGCAGGTCCCCTCTTGCAGCTTCCCTTCACCTCACCGTCAGAATCACAAATTCTGTGGAGAAAAATATAATTCTTCTTCAAGTGATTGTTCACGTCCATTCCAATCAGGTGTGTGCGCGTCGCGTGCATGGATGTTGGAAACTTCTTCCCTTAGCAACTTCCGTCAGGACGGCAGGAGAGCCCCCTAGAGTGGTGCCCTTATGGCGCTGTATATATTACCCTGCCAGCCCGACCCCCTTTCAGTTCCTTCTTACCGTCCATGGCGACGTTGGAATGTTCTCTCTCTCTCTCGCTTGCGAGTGATCCCTTAGCCTTTCAGTCTTCTAGTTAGAGTGGTTCTTAGATAGTTATCAGTTAGTTAAATACCATTATATTCAGGTATCTGGAAGCTAGTTCCAGCACCAGCCTTGGGCTGCGGGGCATGCCGCAAGCCCAGGGTTTCAAAGCTTGCGCCACATGCTGCAAGTCTATGCCTAACAGCGACCCCCACGACTCCTGTCTCTGGTGTCTGGGAGAGTCTCATCAGGCAGAGCGCTGCAAAATCTGTAAGGCCTTCAAGACACGCACTAAGAAAGAAAGAAACTTTCACCTTAAGCAGTTGCTCATGGAGGCCGCGTTACAACCACCGGCCCCTGACCAACCAGCACTGGCCCCAGCTTCCTCGGTGCGAAGTGCCCCGGCATCTGTGTGCGACCCAGCACTGCCCAGGCACCGAGACGGGACGACCAACCTCGGCACTGGTCGACCTCTCCTGCACCGACTAAGCGTCACAAGAAAGGGGAAAGAGGGCGCTCTCCCCAAATAGCTACTAGCCGCTCAAAGAAGCTCCCGGCACGCAAAGACAGATTGCAGGCCTGAGCCAAGAACTGGCACCGGTGCCACAGGCCCCGTTGAGTCCAGTACCCAGCGGATTCAGTGCCAAAAAATGTCTGGAGGAGATCCTCGAACACCCCTCCATGCCAAACACTTTCGAGGCAGCGAAAGACCTCATTGAGTTGTTGGCGCCAAATCCCCTCCCGTGCAGGAAGAAGCCCAAGAGGGTGCCGTCCAGAGGGAAGCCGGCAATGGTGCGCCGCTCGTGGGCACTGTCTTGGTACCACTCCCGTTCAAGCTCGGCGTCCTGTTATTCCCCAGCACCCGCGACCCACCGCTAGGTTACGGCACTGGAAGCGAACCCACCAGTGGCGCCCGTGGCGACTGCATGCTAGTCCACAACGCCATTGGTCGCCCGGCACCAGAGTGCGGCACCAACAACCTCACCAGCATCGAGTGAGAGGCACCGGTCCCAGTCCCGAGACTCCCGGTACCGTTCGAGGTCCCGGTCAGCCATACACCGCTCCACGGCACCCTGCGGCCACTCAACGTTCGGCATCACCCTGGTCCTCTCTGTTGACAACCTCCAGCTCCGAGGCCGACTCCGGTCACTCCAGCTATAGCAGACATCGAACCATGGCCAGCAGAGAATCCCACTCAGCATGGCAGCCACAATGGCCTCCTTCAGGTCAGTGGTCCTTCTGGACCCCATGGGCCTACCGCCAGCAGCAGGGCATCACCTCCAGAGCCTCTAGGTCCGGGCAATCCATGCGACACCATTCCAGGTCGCCACACAGGCACGCATCAAGGACAAGGGAGGCCACTTTCTCCAGGCTCCCCCGGACCCTCAAGAGCAACCGGCGCTTCCAGGCCCAATGCCCGAGGCGGTGCCAACCACTGCGACACCTCAAGAGGTGTCAGCCCCGCCGTGCCCTGAAGTGATCCAGGCATATGGGGACACACAGGAGGGTCTAGATGAGGGCAACCAGCAGCACCTCACTTCCTCCTCTTCCCCAGATGAGGTGGTGGCAGGCACATCAGTCGCAGGACCGCCACTGATAGACCACAGGGCTCACCAGGAGCTACTCCACAGGATCACCCTTAATATGGGACTCCAGGCGGAAGAAACAGTAGAGTAGGGGGATCTGTTGGTGGACATCCTGATGCCCGAGGGTCCCTCCTGAGTCACGCTCCCTCTCATAAAGACCATACAGATGAATTACAATGCTATATGGCAGACCCCGGCCTCCATCACACCAACGGCCAGGGAGGTAGAAAGGAAATACTTCGTCCCTTCCAAGGGCTACGAGTTCCTGTTCTGCCATCCAACTCCCTGTCCCCTAGTCGTTTCAGCAGTCAATGAGAAGGAACAACAGGGCCAACAAGCCTCGGCCCCAAAGGCCAAGGAGTCCAAGCGTTTGGACTTCTTTGGTAGCCTCCAGCTACGCATAGCCAACCAGCAGGCAATCCTTATAGACATAACTTCAACTCTTGGATGGCCGTGTCCAAGTTTAAGGATCACCTGCCCCAGGACTCACACTCTGAGTTTGCGGTGTTATTCGAGGAAAAAAAAGGCGGTGGCTAAGACTTCGTTACAAGCCACCCTCGATTCAGCTGACTCTGTGGCCAGAACCATTGCCTCGGGGGGAGTCATGCAATGTTCAGTGTGGCTCCAGGCATCAGGCCTCCCTCCAGAGGTCCAGAATACCTTCCCTTTGAGGGCTCGGGCCTTTTCTCAGAGCAAACAGACTCCAGGCTGCACGGCCTTAAGGATTCTAGGGCCATCCTGAAGTCGCCAGGGATGCGTACGCCGGCAACCCAGAGAAAGCCCTTCAGGTGAGCCTCCACAGCATTGGCAGTATCAACCCCGCCCCAAACAGGAGCCGTATCGCAGGCGGGGCAGAAATAACAGGTGTAGACAGCAGAATAACGCATCTAACCAAGGCCAGAATAAACCCCAGCCCAGAAACAAGCAAGGGTTTTGAAGGCGCTCCCGAGGACAGTGTACCAACCCAGTTCCCGGATCCATCCCCATGGTTTTTAAACCGGCTATCCCACTTCTACCATGTGTGGTCCCATATAACATGGGACCGCTGGGTCCTACGTACGGTACAGGTGGGATACTCCCTCCAGTTCTCATCCTTCTTCCCTCCCTCCCACCCACCTTCCATGTCCCTCTTCAGGGACCCCTCTCACGAGCAACTCCTTATGCAGGAGGTTCGTTCTCTCCTCGAGATAGGTGCGGTGGAAGAGGTTCCACAGGAGCTAAGGGGAAAGGGGTTTTACTCCCATTACTTTCTAATTCCCAAGGCAAAGGGGGGGGTCTTTGACCCATTTTAGACCTTCGCAGACTCAACACATTTATGGTCAAACTTCGGTTCCATATGGTCTCCCTAAGCACTATCATTCCATCATTGGTCCAGGGGATTGGTACGCTGCCCTTGACATGAAAGACGCATACTTCCATATTGCCATTCATCCGGTGCACCGACGCTTCCTCTGGTTTGTCGTAAACCAATATCACTACCAGTTCACGGTTCTCCCGTTCGTCCTGTCCACAGGTGTTTACAAAATGCATGGCGGTGGTAGCGGCCTTCCTGCGGAAAAGGCAAGTTCGAGTGTATCCGTACCTCGACTACTGACTACCGACAGGTCATTCCAAGGAAGAGGTCCAGTCCCACGTGACGATGGTCATGGACACGTTTCACAGACTGGGGCTCCTCCTCAATGTACCCAAATCGTCACTCATACCTACCCAAAGGATAGAGTTTATAGGGGCAATCCTGGACTTGGTACAGGTGAAAGCGAGCCTTCCAGAGCCCAGGTTCCAAGCCATAGAGCAGATTGTCAAATCAATGCTTCAGTATCCCACCACGACAATCAGGTGTTGCCTGCATCTAATAGGGCATATGGCAGCATGCACGTACATGGTCAAGCATGCCCGATTGAGACTCAGGCCCATACAAGCGTGGCTCGCACTGTCTTCCCATCCATACCAAGACCCCCAGGACCTTGTGGTGACGATCCTGGGACAGGTTCTAGAATCCCTGCTGTGGTGGCTGGACCGACCAGTGGTCTGTGCAGGGGTCCCCTTCGCCAAGCCCAAACCTTCTCTGACGTTAGTAACAAACGTGTCAGATCTGGGCTGGGGCACACACTTAGGGGATCTGAGGACACAAGGCTTGGGGTCGAGGGACAAGATACCTTTCCATATCAACCTGAAGGATCTCAGGGCGTTTCATCTGGCCTGCCAAACCTTTCACGCCACTTTGCAAGGTCACAACATGACTGTCCTGACAGACAACACCACCTCCATGTTCTATATAAACAAACAAGGCGGAGCCCACTCCTCACCTCTCTGCCGCGAGGCTCTTCTTCTCTGGGACTTCTGTATAGCCCGATCCATTCAGCTTGAAGCATCCTACCTTCCAGGGGTACGGAACGAGCTGGAGGATCGCCTCAGCAGGTCATACCACATGCACGAGTGGTCAATCAGATTGGACATCATACAGTCAGTCTTCCAAAAGTGGGGTTATCCCCAAGTATCCTCTTCGCACCAAGAGCAACAGACTGTGCCCTCAGGTCTGCTCATTCCAAAACCACAGTCCAGGCTCAATCGCTGATGCATTCCTAATACCATGGGGCAAGAGTCTGAAGTATGCCTTCCCTCCTATCCTGCTCGTCCACCGGGTCCTCCTCAAAATTCGCAGGGACAGGGCGACGGTAATCATGATCGCCCCGTCTTGGCCCTGGCAGCATTGGTACACAACCCTCCTAGAGCTGTCCGTAGATGCCCCGATAGCCCTGCCTCTCCACCCCGGATCTGATCACGCAGGACCACGGGCACCACCTCCACCTGAACCTGCAATCTGTACATCTCATGGCTTGGAAACTCCATGGCTAAATCACATGGAGCACTAGTGCTCTCAGTCGGTGAGACAAATTCTTCTGGGTAGTAGGAAACCTTCCCCTAGGGCTACCTGGCGAAATGGAAAAGGTTTTCCTGTTAGTGTGAACCCAAGCGCCTTCAACCGCTCCAGGCTCCTATCCCAGTTATTTTAGACTACCTCCTACACCTTAAGCAACAGGGTCTATCCCTTTCCTCCATCAGAGTACACCTGGTGGCCATTTCAGCTTTCCATCGAGGGGAGTCTGGGTGCTCGGTGTTTTCAAATCCCATTGTGGGGCGATTCCTCAAAGGGCTGGAGAGGGTGTTCCCATATTCTCACCCACCAGTCCCAACCTGGAACCTGAACTTTGTCCTCTCCAAACTCATGAGCCCACCATTTGAACCCCTGGCCACTTGTTCCCTCCTCTACCTTTCTCATAAGGTGGCGTTCCTGGTGGCCATTACATCGGCAAGGAGGGTGTCCGAGCTGAGAGCCCTCACCTCCGAAACATCTTACATGGTGTTTCATAAGGACAAGGTTCAGCTTAGACCATACCCCAATTTCTCCCCAAGGTGGTCTCTCAATTCCACATGGGTCAGAACATTTGCATACCGGTATTCTTTCCAAAACCTCACACGAGCCCGAGACACCACAGCCTACACACGCTAGATGTCCGGAGAGCCTTGGAGTTCTACATAGAGCGCACAAACCTTTCCGCAAGTCGACCCAATGGTTTGTCGCCATAGCCGACAGAACGAAGGGCCTTCCTGTGTCTGCGCAACGCATATCCTCCTGGATCACAGACTGCATTCACACATGCTATGAGCTGGCCAAGGTCCCAGCCCCAGCGATTACGGCACATTCAACCAGAGTGCAGGCATCTTCGACAGCCTTTCTGGCTCAGGTCCCTGTCCAAAAGATCTGTAAAGCAGCTACCTGATCTTCAGTGCACACATTTACAGCCCACTATGCTGTCAACCAACAGGTCAGAGATGATGCAGTAGTCGGCAGAGGTGTTCTTCAATCAATCGTTCCATGACTCCTACCCTCCTCCAATGGTAAGCTTGGAAGTCACCTAATTGGAATGGATATGAACAATCACTCAAAGAAGAAAAGACGGTTACTTACCTCTCATAACTGTTGTTCTTCAAGATGTGTTGTTCACATCCATTACAATACCCACCCCCCTTCCCCTCTGTCAGAGTCAACAGCAAGAAGGAACTAAAGGGGGGTCGGGCCCGCAGGGTAATATATACACCGCCATAAGGGTGCCACTCTAGGGGGCTCCCCTGCCATCCCGACGGGAGCTGCTAAGGGGAAAAGTTTCCGATGTCCATGCACGCGGCACGCACACACCTAATTGTCATGGACCTGAACAACACATCTCAAAGAACAACAGTTACGGGAGGTAAGTAACTGTCTTTTCTGCGGGGAACGTTCTGCACAAATTTTGCGTTGCGCAGTGGTGCAGAATTCCCCCAGGAGTACATAGAACAAAATACAGTAGCATGCCTCTTGCACAACAAGGATTACCATGAGCTCATCAGAGATGTCTTTTACTTTCTACTTTGGTTCCCCCCTAGAATGTCACATCAAATTCAAACTCTTGGTCTCTATTTGGGAAGCTTTTAATGGTCTGGGCCCGGGATACCTAAAAGACCACCTAGAGCTCTGCGACAAGAACTGGACTTCAGTCAACAACTCTGCTCCTGTGGTACAACATAGCTGTGTACTGCAAGGGTGAGACTTGTTTATGCAGAAGACAGAGCTTTCTCAGAGGACTGATTCAAGATTGCAGAAGAAACTCCTGCAGGATCAAAGAACCACTGCAAACCTCACCACTTTCCATTCAAAGTTCAAATGCACTTTAAACTTACCTTCATTAATAATAACACTGCATACATATGCTTAAAAAAATTAAATGAAAAGAAATCCATGCACAAATTTCCCCTTGGGGAGAGGAAGGAAGAAAGGGCATCACACTCAATAAATGTTAATCATGTCACTTAATGTGCTTCTGGAAGGCACTCAGATACTATGGTGATGGGCACAATACACAATCTTGAATATAAAAGAAGCTTTTTCAGTTTTAGTAATATTAAATGTTACATATAACAATAGATAATAAATGTTCAGACAGAGGCGTGATTTTGTTGTTGTTGATGGTGTCCCTTTAACTTCATGTCTTAACAAGTTTAATAAAAAAACTTTAGAGCCTTGTTAAATAAAAAAAATTATTCCCAGAATTTATTATACACAAGAATGACAAACAAATGTAACCAGACTGTTCACTTGTATTTTGCCACTAGATGGCTCTGGTTACTTATCTATGTTCTTTGGTTGCAAACAGCTTTGTGTCCGAGGATGGAAGTGATCATGACATTTCCTGTATTTCCAAATACATAGTTTGGTCCCACTTGTAGCCTAACCAGTGAGTTATTGTGACTTTTTCAGAATATTTGTTCAATTACATTTTCTGTTCTGTTTTAGTTGTACTGTTTAGTTATCAGTATTTGCACACAATTGAAGTTATATGACAGAGTTCTTAAATGTTATGTTTCTGTAGATATCAGACATTCAGGCACGGACAGTAGTACTTGCATGGTCCCCTCCATCCAGTGCCATCAATGGGGATGCTGACAAGAATAATGTGCCGGAGGTGTATGTTTATGAAGTTCTGATTTCAAACACCGGAAAAGATGGAAAATACAAAACTGTATATACGTAGGTATTTGTTATCTTTATTAGATTACTGATGCCCTGAACTTTGTACATAAAAGCCTGTTTTAAAAACTGCCTTTTATCTACAGAGTGAGATAATGAGACGTCTCACACAACTTCACTTTTGAGGCAAATTGTTTTAATCAGTAAGATGAAACTGCTTTATTTCCCAAATCTTTACCAATAATTTACTATGTAAAGGCTTGACCCTTTAAGGAACAGAATGCCTTCATCTTCTACTGACTGTGCTTCTGTTGACTACAATGGAAGTTAAGGTTTCTGAAATGATACAGTATCAGAGCAAAATCTTTTTTATTTACTTACTTCAATTTGTACTACTACTACTATCACCAAAACACAGGTACCTTTCCAAGGTTCTGGGACCCCGTGACAGTCTTTTTTAACTTTTTATTACTTCCAGAACACAATACCCTGACAACAGCGAAATGTAAGCAAAACTTAAGCCTCACCAACAGAATCCTAGACCCTTGCAACTCTTTCCCTAAAACAAAGGGAGAAGAGATGAGCCTTCACAACATAATCTAAAAGCTACCCAAACCAGGCTAATGGACACCTTCTTGGGGGCTGCACTTCTTGCTTGCCTCTCGCAAGTAGGAATATGCAGAGGCCACCTCAAAGAATAAAAAAAGTATTTACCATAGTAATTGTGGTTATTCAAGTGTGTTGTCTCTATGTGTGCACACTACCTGCCACCATCCCCTCTTCCTCAAATGGGACTTTTGGGTTTAATGGAAGGAATGTGGCTACACCGCCCTTTTAAAGCCTCATTCTGAATGTACAGTGGTGTGAGAACTAGTTATATAAATTGAAGTAACTGGGGCTCATTCAGCCCCAGTAAGAACTATTCCAGGTGTGCTGGTGTTCCCACAAATGTGAATATACTGTGGCAGCTCTCTTGAAGAATCAGTTACTATTTTAAGTAATGATTTTATTTACCTCAGGGAGGTGTGAAAATCAGTGTTGATAAAGCGTTTATGTACATGTTTAGTATTTTAAGATATTATTGTCATATAGTGTCCACCTAAGGATGGGACTCAAATTATATCTCACACATTAGGTGACCTAGTAAAGTGGAGGACAAGCTTTTTTATATAAAAGAACTGGAAACCAAAAGATAGATACATCTTTAATAAAGCACCACTAAATATACTAGAACAACAAAGCACTAGGAAATAGCGGGAAACAATCCTGCACTGCAAGGTGGATTGATTAGATTATTTCCATCTTTAATTTCTATTATTCTGAGACAATATTTTAAACAAAATTGTACTTCTTTCCAGTGGAGAAAAAACTAGTGTTACCATAAATGATCTCAGGCCAGCAACTGATTACCATGCAAGGTAAGTACCCTTCTTTTTATCTATTAAATGCAATGGAAATTTTTAAAGTAACTTTCCAAATTTGAAACTATTCATTGTAATTAGTATGTATAACAGTATGAACACAGTAACTGACTTTGATATCTTCAGTCTTTACCACCAGACATGCTGCTCTTCCCCTGATGATCACTGTAATTTATGAACTAGCCACAGTTGAAATGTTGATACTCTCAAATGAAGAGTAATGAACTCTTTCTCCCTGAGGTCCAAGACTGGCAGACTCTGGAAGCCAGTTGTGGCGCCCACTACACCATGCTCCCTCCTCACTTCATACAGGACGCCCCTGACATTCTCCCTTCCTTCCTCTTATGGCAGGGTTGGCACAGGAGGTGAAGGAGCCATTTCTGCCAGGTTTCCACCAATGGAGAGCTCACCTACACAAGGGGAATTCTCCACTGGCTATTTCTGGACATTTTAAGGCCACTTTGTACAATTTACACAGTGTGGTAGCGGGCAAGAAAATCTGACCGATTATGCACTGTTACAAGGGTCCCTAGTTCACTATAATTCTGCAGCTCCAGCAAAAACTGCTGCACAATTCATGGCCCATGGAAGCAATGGCAGAGGGTGGGGAGAAGATGCCATGCTTGGTTCCTTTTCCTCTCTCTCTATCTCTCTCTCTTGTTTCTAATTTAGATGCTAGTTAATGAGACTTCAGACTAACAAAAGGAGGTGGAGAATACACATTTAACTGGATAAATATGTATTTAAGTGCCTAACATTAGGTATCCAGGCATGAACATTTTGGCCTAAGTATGAAACATGAAGTCCTTAAACCACAATGGTTTTTAGGTTTTTCTCTAATTAATGCAGGTAGGTGGTCAATAATAAAGACCAAACTTGAAGTTATGATATGTTATGTTTTTCTTTCTGGTGTTGCACAAATTGTGAAAATTGGTGGAAGTTGCTTAAATTCTTTCATGTATCTGATATTCTGAATATCAATACATCTCATAATGTCTCTTTTTTAAATAATTGGCATTTACTGTTCTTGTAGTTTACTGCATATTTATGGAATGTGTACAATATTAATCTGCTAATATCTGAAAACAAAATTTGGAGGTTGACCAATAAATTTCAGTGTTTTTGTACACTTTTACCTTTGGATAATTTTTTTTTAATACATTGGTCGCCATTAAAAGTCCGCCATTAGTCCAAAATAACCACCATTAACGTTACCTGCGGTTATCACATAGTGGTATCCAGTATACTGCAAGAGGATAACTGTGGTTTCTCATATATAACTATAGGGAGGGTAATTGTTGACTGATGGGAGCCACTATTTATGTATATCCAAAGCAGTGTATTGCATTTCCCCTTTTCATAAATTGTATTGAGCAGAAATTTTCCACCTTTTTTTATTATTTACTTTTAACTATAACATTTGGAGGGGATGGGAATATGCTGTTTTTTGAACGTTGTAAACTCAAAATATTGTTCAGGTTCTACGGAAATTGTATCTTTACATTCTGAAACAAAATGTTATTGACCTCTTTTACTATTCTAGAGTCCAAGCAGAATGCAACTGCATAAAGGGAAGCCCTTCAGAAGCTGAGAGTTTTACAACAATGAGCTGTGAACCTGATACTCCAAATCCTCCAAGGATAACTAACCGGACCAAAAATTCTCTCACTCTGCAATGGAAGGTAAGACTTGTTTTAAATGACCCCAGAATGAGATTTAATACCTGCTTTAAGTGCAAATCTCAGTATAACTTTAAGTGTGGAATTACAGTAGTTGGGAGTAATGCAATATTGAATCAACCCCAAAGGATGTTTTCAAAGTTTATTATTGCATTCATTTTTATGTGTTATTTTTTTCAGTGACCATCAGCAACTATTTATATTGTAAAATATTTATCAAATGAATGCTTCAGTATCTAAGCTTTTGCATTTGAAAAAGAAATTTATAAATTTTAGTGTTGAGGCTCCTAAAAACAGGAACCCAAGTATAAACTAAGTGTTATCTTTGTGAGACTGCAGACATTCCGAACCAATAGCCTAAAGAAACATAAATTGCTCTGTTCATCTCAGTTGAATTGTTCACACTCTGAAACTTAAAGATGGCCAACTTAAGTGTCAACATAGCTAAATAAATCGCCACTGATCATTTTAGCAGTAACATCCAGCTAAAGTAAAAAGTGGAGTTGAGGACAAATAGATATGTCACTTAAAGTTTCAGCTTTTAAAATTTAAATAAGAACTTCTCTCGTCATTGGCAGATTATTTCAAAATCTAAAACATGGACTATTTTTAAAATGACTTATTGATGTGCAGTATTTTTGATTATTAAAACTTAGTCAAAACCATTTCTATTTGCACTTCAGTGTCTGTACAGTATATTTTTGTCAAATTAATTTGTTACAAAATGTATTTTACAAAGACTATTGTGCATTTAACTGAATTTATGTTGATTCTCTGTTTTCAGCAGAAAATGGGGTGTACAACCTATTTTTGTAGGAGTAAGTCACTTATGGAAAATAGTTCCTGTCCTATGGACTTTCGTAGGCCTGGAGGAGTATTTTGGCCGCTTTTCAGGATTCAAAGATAAATGCACAAAAATCAGAAAAAGAACAAGTTAAGGCTGTCATAATCTATAGGGTTTTTTTTTAAATGTAGTAAAGAAAATGTAATAGGCAAGATCATCAGCCATCACGCTAAGAAAATCTCTGTGGTCGTAGTTTGGCTCTTGTTGGAATTATTATTATTAATACATAGTATTGCCACATCACCAATTCAACCATAAATTCCTTTATTAAATCTAAAGGCCAAATGGTATTTGTACAGCTGCTCTAAACATGTCTAAAATGCCTACATAATAAGCAGTTACCACATCCACACAGTAACAAATATTCATAAGCATTTGATGAGAATGTTCACAAAAGGATCAGTCCCAGGGATAACCCTCTCATCCTGATTTACTTCAGCATCATTAGATAGGATCTGCTAAATACCCCTAGGAAGCCTGATTCTTTTATACAGTGTAAGAAACAAGTGATGTCATGTTGACTGTTATCTTATCTTAAAAAACAGTTTTTGGCTAGTTTGGGATTGACCCTTTTCTTAAGCTTGTAGACAAGAGTTTATGAGTGGACCTCTTTCTTCAAGATAACATTGCTGTATTAGGCATCATTATAAGTTAATCATATCACAAAACAACTTTTCTTTGTCTGTTAGAACCAATTCTGATCATTAGATGCTTCTCTTCTCTTATTAGCCACATTTTGAGCTCAGCATTTTTACAACTTACCTTGTAACTTGCCAGTTACATTTTTTTCCTCAAGACCTTTCCATAGCTGCTAAAAACCCATGGCTTCAACTACAAAACACATATCTTTTCCTTCATTAAGATAAGCTAACGTGACCCTTTATATACCTATCTAACACTACAGCTCCTCAGAAAATTGCTATAGGATGATATTTGACACTGTTGCCAGAATATTTTTCAGAGGTGTGTGTTGCCAATAAAAGGAGAGTTGAGGGAAACCTCAAACAGCCAGCATCAGGGAGCAGTTGGTCACCTCTGATCTTGACTTGATTGGAACAGGTGACCTATAAATGAATGTCTCTAGCCCATTGCCATTTTTCTAAAGTGATCTTGTCCTCCTGCTATTGTGTCCTAATTTTATTCTTTTCTTGATATAGACATCTTGTGACAATGGCTGTAAAATCCACAATTATCTTTTAGAATGGGACGAGGTAAGCAGGTTTGCTGTATTTATACTATTTTTCTCTTTGTATTTTTTTTAAAATAGCTTTGTGTGAATGTGAACATATTTTCAGAGGAAAATTATGACTAAGGTTAAGATTTTGGCAAGGGGATTTTTATTAAAATTCATGGGCAGGATGCAGGCAATAAACCATAAATCATAGAATCTAGATCCCAGTACCACGGGGCTGAACCTGAAGCCCCACACAGGGGGTAGGGAGGCACTGACAGGGTAGGGAGCCTTGCCAGCCGCAGTGAGGGCTGACAGCTGGAGCCCCGCTGGCCACTACGGGGTGGAAGCAGAAGTCACGGATGGAGGTTTGTTAAAGTCACAGAATCCGTGACCAAATTGTATCCTTAATTGTGACCTATATCTTTGAGGCAAGTGTTGGTAATATACAATTCATTCCTAAGAAGGTATCAAAAATACAGCTATATTTCCTCAAATTTTGCTTGCTGAATAGAAAATGGCAGTATTATCAGGTGGCTCTTAAAACTTATGTTATTGGGTCACTGTTTAGGGTGGCTTTTTCCTTTCTGGTGGCCCAATTCTTCCTCCCAGGATCTGCGAGCTGAGAGTCATTTCTGTGTGAAGATCTCCTTCCTTGTGTAAGGATGGCTCAGCTGTCTCCCAACCCATCCCCTAGACACCTAAGAGGTTATCAGGAAAGGAGTTAAGTGGGCTGTGGGGCGGAACATGCACAGCCTCCTTCATCAGCCTTGTGGAGCTAAGGACTGAAAGAACAGCATTTTGAGTTCAATATTCATAACAGTGTGATATAACACTTACCTTCTTTTGGCTTCTTTGGCTTGTTTTGATTTTAACTGGATGAACATTCTACAAGATTTAGCAAGCTGTTTTAATCAGTAGATGTACTTATTTAATGAACAGTGTAAATAATATGAGTTTTAATTGTTCCTTTTAGGGAAAAGGAAATGGAGAGTTTTGTCAGTGTTACTATGGCCAACAGAAGCAGTATAGAATTACTAAACTATCACCAGCAATGGGGTACACCTTTAGACTGGCAGCCAAAAATGACATGGGCATGAGGTGAGTATTACCATGTTATATACATAAACAATGCAATGTGTCTACATCCACGTGCATGTGTATATAGGAACAACATATAACAGAATGCTGCTGTAATTAAATAACATTATATGCCCACCTGATATACACAATAAGACACAAGACATATCATTGAATGCTCTTAAACCTCTTAGAGCTTCGTATCACTACATATGATATATTGCTCCTGTTATTAAACCATTTTGATTTTAAAAGATTTAAAACAGAAATCTTTATTTTGAAGTAATTTTAATAGGTAACATTACACATAAACAGTTATGATAAACTCTTGAAGATTAAAATAAAAACAGACAAAACACCTCCTAGTCCATCTGTGAATATCTGGACATATAGCTCACATTTCCTGTATTATAAGCTAGTGAATGGCATTACCCTGTATGGTTGAAAATCCTTTTAAAACTAATCAGTCTCTAAACATTTTTTAAATCACATATTTTATAGACATAAAAATACACTACTGGCTTTATAGTTCTGTTTAAGTAATAAACAATGTTTAAGGAGAGCTCTTACAAGAGGAGGGGCCAAATTTTGCCCTAGGTATGATTGAGGATGTCTTTTATTAACATTGTTGGGAACGTTATGCATCTGAGAGCAGAATTTCATCTAGATGATGTTACTGACCAAAGATAAATGTTCTGTTTTTATAAGTTCTATATGTGTTTAAGTTATTAACCATTCTTAATTTCAGCCACATATGAAATACAGCACAAAAACATTTGCTAAATAGGAAAAGTACAAAAATGAAGCAGAGAGAAATAGCTAAAAGAAAGTTTCTGAGTGAATTGTCTGGGGCCTGATCCATTGCCCACTGGAGTCAGTGGGACTCTTTCCATTGATTTTAGTGCGCTTTGGATTGGGCCCACAGAGAGTAAAAATAAGAAATTAAGAACTTTTTATTTAAATTGACACTTTATTTTGTTTTAAGGTACCCATTAGTTAGATCTACTCACTGGGTGAATGCTTAGGCATTAATGGGGGGTAGACGGGTCTGCCCTTTTGTTGGGGCCAGGATGTAGGTGGCTGGGTAATCTGGTTGGAGCAGGAGTTGGGGTTGGGGTCAAGCAAAGGGTCAGGGTCAGAGCCAGAGTCAGAGAGAGTCAAGCCCAGGGTCAGAGCCAGAGTTGGAGACAAGAGGCAAGAATCAGTAACAAGGCAGGAACCTGGAGTCCAGGCAGAGAGGCAGGAAGCAGGGTCTGATGTAACAGCCAGGTAGAGCCCAGTTATATGGACAACTTCCTGTGCCTCTCTTTGGGTTTAAATAGGAAGCCCTGACCAATCAGAGATCCTGGTGTTCCTCCAATCAGGGCCTGGGAGGCCTCCCTGATGTAGCTTTTGTTTTCATGGTTTCTCTGCTTGGTTGGTTAGTAGCAATATGCTGGGTGGGAGCAGGGAGATGACTGTCAACTGGCAATCCTGTGGACCCAGCCTCCAGGCCTGCGGGGTCATGACGCCTTTCCGTTCACTCCATGCATTTAGCATACCTAGATGTAGATTTGGGTTTGTTTGTTCGTTTGTTTGTTTGAAGTAACTAACATCATGATATACACATCTCTGCATCTCTGTTCTTGGGACTTTCTTACTAGTGATTTAGTGCAAGTACAAAAATTAATACCGTCCCCAAAATTAGGAAAGTTCCATCTTGTTTTGTGCTCATTATATAGTAATTGTCAAGGTCTGATTTGCATGCTGCCTTTGTGGAAGCTTTTATGACATGTTGTCTTTTAGTTTTTAATTGTTTAAAAAAAAACTTAGTGAAATTATGGCTCATCTGTTATACCAAAAAAACACAACTTTTGATTTATAGTAGTCACATCATTATAATGTGTTTGAGAACATAAAAAACAAAAGTAAATAGACATGTGCAGGGAATCCATCATGATGGATTCCACTTTAAAAAGACCCAGATAGTCCAGGCAATGTAGAAGAAATCCAAGTTTTGAAATCAAAGTTGTTAGGTTGCTACCTTTGTTGCATAAGCCATACAGAGAACTATATTTTCCAGGCTCCCTAATAGCCCCTCATTCACTCTTGCATCCTTCCCTAATGATTCTATTTCCTAATGTCTTTCGTTCTTTCCTGTACCCTTTACTTGCCTTTTGTCTCCAAATAAGGCTACCCAAAGATATATCAAGTAAGGCTGACAAATCAGGTTTTGCCAGATTAGTCGGTGGTCTACACTGTATTTTCATTTACTACAAAATACAAATTTTATATTGGCAATTCCACAGGAAACTTAGCTTTCAGAGAGGCTTTACTGGTCCCATTTTTTTGGACCCCTGGAAAATTAACACTTGATAAGTAATAGGCTCACTTAGAAGTGTACAAGTGTTTGCACAGGTAGCTGGTTAGGGAGCAAAATGAATTTGGTTATTTTTTTATTAAATCTTGGACAAAGGAAAACAGTGCAGGCAGAGATGGAAAGAATAAGCTTTGGCATTAGTTGGATAAAGTACATAAACGTACAAGCGTTTTAGAGACTTACTGCTGTGCAAATAATGACTGTTCAAAGTGGATTTTAAAAAACAAATTGTGTTCTTGGTCTATTTTGTTAACAAATATGTATATTAATTCCAGGCCAAACTTTCAAGTATGGGCATGTATAACCTGTATTAGCATGAGTTACACACACAGGCACAATTTGTTTGTATAGGATGGTCAACTGCATGTACCAACATGCAATTACCCGTGATGTGCATATCTGACAAATTGGCCTGAAACTGTTGTATAGCAATTCCGTATTATTCTTGTTCCTACTTCATCCTATTTAGTTTATATACTGTTTGTTTCAAAACAGTGGTTTTAGTGAAGAAGTCCTGTATCATACCTCAGGCACTGCCCCATCAATGCCAGCCAGTCCTATGCTGATTAAAGCTGGAGTTACCTGGTTATCCTTACAGTGGACTAAACCCTCAGGAACACCAACAGATGAAGGAATCTCTTATATTTTAGAGATGGAGGATGAGACCTCAGTAAGTGTGAAATAAATATTCTAAATAAGAGAAGAGACCATAAATGAATGTTTTAGCACACTTAATAGTATCTCAGTGTAATAACAACACTTGCCATTGACAGTATCTTCTGTTGGGGATGTGATGTTGTTCTAATGAGACTTATGGGTGCTTTTATTACATATACATTACATGTAGAGGGAGAAGGTAAATTTCATATCGTAAAATCAAAATTGGGGAAATATCTGCAAAAAAACATTCACTACAGAAATTAGTGTGCAGTTGTGATTTTTGTAATCAGCAAGGTTTTTTAGTAATGGTTAGGTGATATCAGTAAAAAAAATTGAAATGTTTAATAATGTCCTTCCATTTTAATGAAATTATATTCTAATATTAAACGTTCATGTATCTCTTGCCTTACGGACACTGCAAATTAGGCTTTGGCCTTGGCAAGAATATACCTCCTCCTCAATCCTGCAAAGGGATGAGTGTTACTAGAAGTAAGAAGGCATTGTTGGAAGGATGTTCTCACTTTCTTTGTGTCCCTGTTTGTTAAAGGGATGTATTTGTAAACAATGAGCAAGTAATTGGTGTCAATTTTGAGCACATCCTTTCTGTAGAAAACATTGTCAGAGATGGTATGAAAGTGTCTGAGTTTGTGCAATTTATACAGGCTGTATCCTACTTATACCATGACGACCGCAACAGCTAATCATACGGTTTTGACCATGAGGCAATTGGTTATTTTATTTTTGCATGCCTCCCAGCAGTGCTTTTCATGAACAAATTCAGCACATTTGATCACTGTTTTACACTTCAGCATCCCTTGCATTGACTATAGATAAATTAGCAGATTAAGTTGACCCTTCTGGTTTTAAGTCCCTTAATGGTTGTAGCTCGTGACTAAGGCCCAAGCCCTGGAAAGAGAACCATACAGGCATAGAGATCTGCCCATACAGTTCTCTTTGTCTATGTTTGCAGTCTTCAGTTTTAGCCTCATCTATATGAGTTTTGTGATTATTTTTATACAAATCATGAACCTGATTTTCATTTACAGTAAGGCTCCCTTTATGCCATTCTGGCAGTGTAAGATGGCCATAAAGGAAATTGCATTTATGCCCACTTCAAGGCCCCTTTACACAGCCAGAGCAGTAAGGAACCTTACATAAAAGAATCTTGGGCTTACGGTCTTTCAAAGGACTGTTAAATAAAGAAGTTATAGCATTTGCCACTCCCATCAGTCCCCTTCTGAATAAGCCACCTTCATTAATTTTTACAAATTTTGCTCTATGTAGTAGAGTATGGGCTTTTAAATAATTTTCAACAATCATTTTAAAATTAAACAAATTTTATTGTAAATTAAGGTTAATTACTTGATTTCCCATAATTTCCAAGGAAAAACTGTTAATATTGAAACATCATTTGTCATTACTTTTCCCTCCTCTTAAATGAAAATTATGACTTGCTTTTACTGTGACAAAACCATATTGTTTTCTTTTCTTTTGTTATGTCAAACAATCATCCTCATCAGTTATGCTTTTGCTGTTAAGCCCTGATCCTGCAAAGACGCACACATTGTTTAGCTTTGTACACACGAGTAGTATTCTTGAATAGAAAGTCAAGTACATGTGTAAATCCTTGAAAGATCTTGGCAAAAGTCCCTGTGGTTTGGAACTTGCTCCCCTTGACAATCATTTCAGCTTATCTGCCTTCATTTTTCAATGAATCCTGCTGTGATTTCCCCTCCTCCTCTCAAAAGATATGTTAGTATGAGCAATATCGGCTACATATTATTTTCTCCTTTTCCCTTTTGTTGCATTAGAACTTCTGTTTTATAGTCAGAAGATGATGAGTTTATTTTTATTTTATTATATTGTTTTGATCATAGTTCTCTTATTTCCATTGCACACCATCCCAAATGGTGACGGGTGACTCAAAAATATTTGTTTACAGAATAAAAACTTCACTCAAAGCAGCCTAACAAGTTACTATGTTTCAGATTTTACGAGTTCTGCTATATATAGTCTGGTTTATAAATATATTTCAAGTATTAATATTTTATTCCTTCTATAGGGATATGGTTTCAAACCAAAATACGATGGAGATGATCTCACCTGCACAGTGAAGAATCTTAGACGTAGTACAAAGTATAAATTTAGGGTAATATTCTTCAGATTATTTTGGTTTTATTCATTGCAAAGTTGCTCAGTGTTAGCAGTTGTTTTTTACAGTTGGTTTCTGTGATGAAACAATGTGATGTTACCGATACTTTTCTAAAGTACTGTTTGGATAAACTTAAAATATCACTTCATACATTTATTGGTAAGAAATGAGTGCTGCCCAAGGAGAGCATACCTTCTCTGTAATATGAGAGGGAAAGCTATTTGATCTTTTAGCAGAAGTAATACTTTTTCAATACATTTTGAAATCTCCATTTTATAATTTACATAGGGCATTCCCTTGATTACAGTAACAGCTACTTGTTGCTTGAGATTGCTGAAAATTAGGCCCCTTATTTAGGAACCTGAAAAGATTTTTGGACGCAAACTTCAGGGTACTCACTGTAGAATATGTTGGCCTAATCATTTTAACTAGTGATGCTACAACGGTTAAAAAAAAATTATGAAGGACCAGGTGTGGGAATGCATTAGTTGTGCATTGTTTTGAGCAGGATATCCCCAGTATAGTATAAAATTGGGGCCCCAGCGGTTGCATATGTATTTAAGCTGGCAACACTTAAAATACTTCTTGGAGATAGATCTGTGGGGATTTGATCTGCTTTTTACGTTTAATGTAGTTGAATACTAACTGACTGATGTATCTGCAGTTAAAAAATTTGCCTCTGTGCATATGCAGTTTATATTTGTATTTAAGGATCATTTATTTAAAAAATACCCCTAAGTATCTAAGACTACCGAAAATACTATGGCCAAATTTTCAAACCCTTGTACCTATAATTAGATTCCTAAATTCATACTTGGGCACATAAATAAAAGTAGCGTGACTTTCAAAAGTACTAAGTGCCCACAAATTCCATTAAAGTCATTGGGAGCTGCAGTTTCCTGAGTGTGTCTTATCATCAGGCTACTTTTACATGCCTTGAATATAGATTTAGGAGCCTAACTTTAGTCAGGTGGATATGTAAATGTTGGGGTTTTGTTCATTTGTTTTTTGTTTTCTTTACAACTGTTGTAAAATGCTATTTTTTTTATTTTAATTTTTTTAAATATTAAAATTTCCCTGCTGGCAATTATCTGCCTTTTTTCATTTCAGTAAAGTGGTTGACTACTAAAATGGTATAATATACAAAAATGTGTGATAGTTTTCTTTACTTTGCTGATTTATAACCTATGAATTAAGCATATATATAAATGATTTGGACACACTTGGCATTAGCAGCTTGTAGAGTACCAAAAATGTACATATGCTGTTTATAGAATACTTTTATTTATATATTTATATTTATTTTTACAGGTCATTGCCTATAACTTGGAAGGCAAAAGCAGTCCAAGTGAGGTAGTCGACTTTACTACTTGCCCAGACAAGCCTGGAGTACCTTCAAAACCATCAGTTAAAGGAAAAATTCATGCACAAAGTTTTAAAATAATTTGGGGTAAAGTTTTTGTTCAGTTCTATTTTGATACTTTCTTCTGTATTTATGTACATTTGTATGTGAAGAATTCTGCTCTCAGTACTACTGCAGTCAGCAGTTTTTCTGGATTAACAGTAGTGTAACCAAGAGCAGAATATTGACCCAGTGACTTCAGGGTAGTTAGGAGGATGTCACAGTAGTCTAACTATCAGGTGTGAAACAGAGCTATAGGAAATTTAGCCTTTTTGGTTCACAGGGGTTCATGGGAAACTTTTTTTGGTTTCAGTTTTCCTGGGGTCACTCTACTACTGTCCCTGATTTTAACTTGGAGTTCTATATTTGAGTTAACTTAAAGGGAAACTTTTCCAAAACTACAATTTTACCTGGTTTCTGTTGAAAATGTATGAGTGAATGTGTTTCATTTCAGAACTATAAATTGGCCTAGATTCACTTAAAACTGGACCTAGGTTCACAAACCTTTGGATGAACCTGGTCTGAGCTTTGGGTTTATAATGAAACCAGCAGAGTGAAGAAAACTTTCAGGTTTTTCTAATGAGAGCTTCACACAGCTCTAGTTTGAAATATATATGCTTCCTGAAGTCCAGGTACAAATTCTCACACAATCTGTCAACCTATGAGTATTAGGTGAATAGAAAAATACTATTTCTTTTGTTTTTTACATTGCAAATATTTGTAATAAAAATAAATATAAAGTGAGCACTGTACACTTTGTATTCTGTGTTGTAATTGAAATCAGTATATTTGAAAATGTAGAAAACATCCAAAATATTTAGATAAATGGTATTCTATTATTGTTTAACAGCGTGATTAATCAGGTGATTAATTGCGAATAATAACAACAAAAGAAATAGTATTTTTCTTTCACCAAATCAAGTACTGTAGTGCAATCTCTCTTTATCAGGGAAGTGGAACTTACAAACATAGAATTATGTACAAAAAAAACTGCATTCAGAAATAAAACAATGTAAAACTTTAGAGCCTACAAGTCCACTTGATCCTACTTCTTGTTCAGCCAATCACTCAGACAATTTTGTTTACATTTGCAGAAGATAATGCTGCCCTTTTCTTGTGTACAATGTCACCTGAAAGTGAGAACAGGCGTTCGCATGGCACTGGTGTAGCCGGCGTCGCAGGATATTTATGTGCCAGATGTGCTGAAGATTCATATGTCCCTTTATGCTTCAACTACCATTCCAGAAGACATCATGCATGCATGACGGGTTCTGCTTGATAACGATCCAAATCCGTGCGGACTGATGCATGTTCATTTTCATTATCTGAGTCAGATGCCATCTGCAGAAGGTTGATTTTCTTTTTTGGTGGTTCAGGTTCTGTAGTTTCTGCATCAGAGTGTTGCTCTTTTAAGACTTTTGAAAGCATGCTTCTCAACTCGACCCTCTCAGATTTTGGAAGGTTCTTAAGATTCTTAAACTTTGGGTCAAGTTCTGTAGCTATCTTTAGAAATCTCACATTGGTACCTTCTTTGCGTTTTGTCAAATCTGCAGTGAAAGTGTTCTTAAAACAAATAACATGTCCTGGCTCATCATCCAAGACTGCTATAACATGAAATATATGGCAGAATGCAGGTAAAACAGAACAGGAGACATACAATTCTCCCCCAAGGAGTTCAGTCACTAGTTTGTTTAATGCATTATTTTTTTAACAAGCATCATCAGCATGGAAGCATGTCCTCTGGAATGGTGGCCAAAGCATGAAGGGGCATATGAATGTTTAGCATATCTGACACGTAAATACCTTGCAGTGCCAGCTACAACAGTGCCATGTAAATGCCGGTTCTCATTTTCAGGTGACGTAAATAAGAAGCGGGCAGAATTATCCCCTATAAATGTAAACAAACTTGTTTCTCTTAGCATGGTTGAACAAGAGGTAGGACTGAGTGGATTTGTAGGCTCTAAAGTTTTACATTATTTTGTTTTTGAGTGCAGTTATGTAACAAAAAAAATTTAACATTTGTAAGTTGTATTTTCACGATAAAGAGATCATACTACAGTACTTGTATGAGGTGAATTGAAAAATACTATTTCTTTTATCATTTTTACAGTGCAAATATTTCTAATAAAATATAATAATATAAAGCGAGCACTGTACACTTTGTATTCTGTGTTGTAATTGAAATCAATATATTTAAAAATGTAGAAAAACAACTAAAATATTTAATAAATTTCAATTGGTATTTTACTATTTAACAGTACAATTAAAATTGCGATTCATTTTTTAAATCACTATTAATTTTTTTGAGTTAATCACATGAGTTAACTGCGATTAATTGACAGCCTTACATTTAAGTAATTAAATCTCTGACCTAGTCATTAAAATAAATCTGCTTAACATCTGATTTTTCCATTTAAAAAAAAGCAACTTTTTCTGGAACCCGACAAGGCCCCAACTCAGCGAAGTACTTAAATATGTGCTTAAGTCCCTCCCTAATCAGAAAAGCACTTAGGCCCAGACTTTTAAAAGTATTGCTTCTCTCAGCATTGTAAAACCAAGTGATTTAGGAGCCCGACTCTCATTTTTAAAAGTGACATAGGTGCTTAAGAGCCTATGTCCTGCTTCTAAGTCATTTAGGCCTTGCAATGCTGACCAGAGCAATGCCTAAATATCTTTAAAAATCTGGGTCTTAGGCACTAGCTTAACTTCCTTAAATATTCCACAGAAGGTTTTTTATCTCTGTCATGTAAATACAATAGTGTCCAGAACAGTGTGTTTTGCCTGACTTTTTGTTCGTATTTGGTAGATCCACCAAAAGACAATGGAGGGGCAGCAATAACTAAATATGTCGTGGAGATTTCTGAAGGCTCAAATGGTAAGAATTAATGTAGGAACTTTTCAAAGGCAGCATGGTGTTCCCTGATTTTGGCATTTTGTTATATCTCTGATATTCCTTTTAAATGCTGTAGATTGTAAATTCTGTGGGGCAGGAACTGTTTTTGTTTGCTTAGATGATTGGCACCTCTGGGAACTACTATAATAGAAAAATGAAAGGCACTAAAAGGCACTCTGTTTTTCTGAATGTATGTATAAAGAATACTCTTGCAAGTTGTAATTAGTAGGCTGTATGTTGTATCCTATTCTGTCTAAAGAGATGGCCCAAATTTACTCCTCGTATTACAGGCATTCTGTGTGGGTGGCCAAATTACAGATTAGACCACATAGTACCCTTGATTCATGGCAGAGATCAACCAGAGCTGACACTTTTCTTGTGACTGAACTTTTAGTTAATAACATTACTGTTGCATTTACCATCATTAAATGGGGAAAATGATGCAGAGCACTTTTGGAATAACAACTGTTTTTGCCCTTAGTTTATAGCTAGTTGTGTGTAGTGTGGTTCAGGCTAAGACAGCGCTATGGTCCCAGTTCAGAAAAGCATCCCTATTATGGAAGGGTGCTGAAGCATGGCTTTTAAGTTCCATTGTAGTCAATTGCAAATGAACTAAAGTTCAGCAGTTTCTCTTTGGAGTCTGGTCCTGAAGTTTTTTTGCTGCAGGATGGCCACCTTTAAAAGTTCATTTGCAAATTTGACACCATCAACTCAGGATTAAACAAAGACTGTGAATGGCTAGCCAACTACAAAAACAATTTATCCTCCCTTGGTGTTCACACCTCAACTGCTAGAAGAGGGCCTCATCCTCCCTGATTGAACTAACCTCATTATCTCTAGACTGATTCTTGCCTTCATATTTATACCTGCCCCTGGAAATTTCCACCACATGCGTCAGACGTGATGAAGTGGGTATTCACCCATGAAAGCTTATGCTCCAATACGTCTGTTAAGGTGCCACAGGACTCTTTGTTGCTCTATAAGGTGCCACAGGACTCTTTTTTGCTTTTTACAGATCCAGACTAACACGGCTACCCCTCTGATACTTGACACCATTTCTTTCAGTGTTTCTTCTGAACATTTCCTATAAAATAGTTGTATAATAGTTAGTAGTTCCCTTAGTATTAGTTCTAGTTTAGTCAGTCGCAGATGGGACTCAGCCTAGGGACGGGGCATGCCCCAGTCCCTAGGCTTTAAGCCCTGCGATCGTTGTAAGTGGCCTATGCCTATGCCCATCAGCAACCCACATGCTAGTTGTTTGAGGTGTCTAGGCGAAGGACACGTACGCGACAAGTGTCACATCTATAAATCCTTCAAAACCTGAACAAAAAGTGGGAGAGACATCTATCTCAGGGCGCTCCTGATGGAGTCAGTGCTGACCCCAGCACTGGAGCAGAGGTCCGACTCGGCCCCGAGCACCACAGCATCGGTGTGGAGCGCCCCACGGCGCCATCTTCGAGCCAGCACCGATTCCCCTCCCCAGCTCTGGCCAAGAAGCCGAAGAGAACCACAAGGGAAGGATTTCCCATTTCCCGTAAGGGAAAGGACAGGGCCGGAGGAGAGCCAAGACCCTTGCTGGGTGGCTCAACACCTCCATCAGGGAGTCGGGCCCCAGCTCAGGTTGAACGGTCCATCTCATCCCGTACCATGCCTGTCACCCCAGAGAGTGACAAGGGCCTCCGTTATCTAGATGTCCTGTTGACACCCGAGGCCCTGCAGGCAACAAAGGAGATCCTGAGGCCCACACTGGCTCCAGCGGTACCCCAGTCTAAGGGTAAACCCACTCTGGGACCTTACCATGTGTCCCCACCTCAGTAGTACTGTTCCCCACTGCGAGGAATGTTCTGCCAGTGCTCGCCCGCTCAGAGCCGTCACACCTCGAAAGCAGGGAGGAAGGCTCAACAAAGCCCTCTTTGGTCTCCGGACCCTGGGCACCAACAGCAGGATTCGAGGCGTGGCTTGCCAGTAACCTGGCGCAGATCTACTGAGGCTCATGCCCCCAGGCAAGAGCGGCGAGACCGGCCTTTTGTGTCTCCAAGGCTGCGGCACTGGTCACGCGAACCATCCTTTGAACGTGGTCACTGATACCTATTGCCAAGACTCGGATCCCTGCAATGAGGGAGATCCTCCTGACGACTGGCCCGCTCCAGCACCCAATCCCGTTCCATGTCCCAGTACCAGTCGAGCAGCGTGAGGTGTAGATGGACAGATTACTGATGCCTATCCGCCAAACACCGATGGTCCCCAAGTTCCCGCGCAAGGGACTCATCTCGGTTGGTCAGGTCTATGTCAAGGCATAGCGGCCGGCAGTGCACGGCGAAGGAACGTTGGTGCGTTGGATCATGGTCGCCTGGCAGTGACCACTCCACCTCCGACTCTGGAACTGAGCAGGAGTCCTTGACAGTGGGACAAGCCCCAGCACCAGCAGTACTGTCTACAGCGTCAGCACCGCAACCGACCCTATGGCCCCAAGGCCAGTGGCCGGCAGCAGCCTGGTACCCCTGGAACCGTTGGGGGTTTCCCCAGCCCTCGCAGACAGTCAGGACGGTGACGGGGGGCCTCAGATAGGCCATCAGCCTCAGCATCCCTCCCTCCACCAGATAGGACCCCCCAGGCCCATGAAGAGACAGGGGAACAGCCTGCTGGACCACCAGGCGACGTGGTGGGGGGACATGTGGCTCCCACAGCACCAGCTTTGTCGTCATCGTCGCTGGACAAAGCCATCACGGGTCCCCCTCACCCAGTTCCACAAGATGATGCTAAGGCTCATCAGGAACTATTGAAGAGAGTTGCCTCCAACCTGGGGCTTCAGACGGAAGAGCCATCGGACTCCCTATTTGACATCCTCTGCTCCACCGCACCTGCTGGGGTGGCTTTGCCCTTACATGAACGGGTATCAAAAATTATTAATGCCCTGTGGCTAACCCCCTCCTCCCTGCCCCCCCATTTCAAAAAGGGCTGAACGTAAATACTTTGTGCCAGCTAAAGGCCACAAGTATCTCTACACCCACCTGGCCCCAAACTCTCTCTTAGTTGAGGCTGTTAATCAAAGGGAGAGGCAGGGGCAACCCGGGCCCAAGCCCAAAAATAAAGACGCAAAGAGATTGGATCTGTTTGGGCGAAAAATGTATTCGTCTTCCAGCCTTCAATTGAGAGTGACCAACCACCAAGCCCTCCTCGGCCATGACGATTACAACATGTGACAGGCCATGGCCAAGTTTGAGGTTTCGCTTCCTGAAGAGTCCAGAAAGGAATTCTGGGCAATCCTCGAGGAAGGCACGGCTGCATCCAGAGTGGCCCTCCGAGCAGCTTCAGATGCGGCAGACTCCGCGGCTCACACCATGGCCTCGGCCATCTCCATGTGGCCAGCATCCTGGCTACTCCTCTCTGGCCTGTTGACTGAGGCTCAGCAGTCTATGCGGGACCTCCCCTTCGACGGCCAGGCCCTGTTTGCGGAGCAGATGGACAGCAAGCTACCAGGGTTAAAAGACTCCCACACTACCTTGAAAATTCTAGGACTGTACGTCCCTGGTCCAGTCCGTAAGCAGTTCAAACCGCAGCCATCTCAGGGCCAAGGGAGCCAACCCCGGCGGGAGCCATCCCACAAAAAGAGCAGAGGCTACAAATGCCACCCAAGCCACCCGCCTCCACCCCTCCACCCAAGTGGGCTCGACACGTACTAAGCATGGGAGCAAGCGGGCATTTTGAGGGTGCACCCAAGGGCTACCTACCAGACTATACCCTGGATCTATCTTTCCCGCCTTTCTCCAATCACCTTTCTTTTTTCCTCCCGGCATGGACCACCATAACGTTGGACCACTGGGTCCTCAATACAGTGGCGCAGGATTATACCCTCCAGTTTCTTTCTACCCCCCTCTCCCACCCTCCTTCCCCATCCCTCTTCAGGGATGCCATTCACAAGAGTCTTCTCGTGCAAGAGGTAGAAGGGTTGCTGCAGCTGGGTACAGTGGAAGAGGTTCCTCACACGTACAGGAACAAGGGGTTCTATTCCCGGTACTTCTTAATCCCAAAGGCCAAGGGTGATCTACGGGCCATCCTGTGAGACCTCAACAAATACCTAAAGAAATTGAAGTTCTGCATGGTCTCCCTGGCCTCCACCATCCCCTCTCTGGATCCAAGAGACTGGTATGACCTCCTCAACTTGAAGGATGCATACTTTCATATAGCGATCTTAGAGGAGAGGAAGGTGATCAGGAACAGTCAGCATGGATTCACCAAGGGCAAGTCATGCCTGACTAACCTAATTGCCTTCTGTGATGAGATAACTGGCTCTACGGATGAGGGGAAAGCAGTGAACGTGTTATTCCTTGACTTTAGCAAAGCTTTGATATGGTCTCCCACAGTATTCTTGCCGGCAAGTTAAAGAAGTATGGGCTGGATGAATGGACTATAAGGTGGACAGAAAGCTGGCTAGATCGTCGGGGTCAACAGATAGTGATCAACGGCTCCATGTCTAATTGGCAGCCGGTTTCAAGTGGAGTGCCCCAGGGGTTGGTCCTGGGGCCGATTTTGTTCAATATCTTCATTAATGATCTGGAGGATGGCGTGGACTGCACTCTCAGCAAGTTTGCAGATGACACTAAACTGGGAGGAGTGGTAGATACACTGGAAGGTAGGGATAGGATACAGAGGGACCTAGACAAATTAGAGTATTGGGCCAAAAGAAATCTGATGAGGTTCAACAAGGACAAATGCAGAGTCCCGCACTTAGGACGGAAGAATCCCATGCACTGCTACAGACTGGGGACCGAATGGCTAGGCAGCAGTTCTGCAGAAAAGGACCTAAGAGTTACAATGGACGAGAAGCTGGATATGAGTCGACAGTGTGCCCTTGTTGCCAAGAAGGCTAATGGCATTTTGAGCTGTATAAGTAGGGGCGTGGCCAGCAGATCGAGGGACGTGATCATTCCCCTCTATTTGACATTGGTGAGGCCTCATCTGGAGTACTGTATCCAGTTTTG